CTACTTTCCGTGTTTATTGCCTTTTTCTAGTTACTTCTCTGAATCACGTTTCTCTGTTTCTTTTTCCTTGCATGCACTCATTTCTTTCTACGCATCTGTAATTACCTGCAAACGCGTTTTATCTCTGTCTTGTTACGATTGGGTTTTTCGGTGATAGGATTTAATCGCGCCTGCGAATGGCAGTTTATACTTAGGTGGGCACATAACTACGACAGCTCGTCCATGGTGAGCAAGAAGACCTTCAAAGTCCTCAATGTGATACGTTTGTCACATGAGGGTGAATTTGCCTACAGTAAAACGGACTTCCGGTGTGCCTTCCTCGCTGCTCCTCGCGTTCCGGCTGTAAGACAGGGTGAGAACAATCAGAACTAGTGGTGGGCTGGCAAAGTTAGAAGGCTCGTCTACTCTTGCAGCGTACGAGTTGAGCCCTGACCCTATAAGTGAAGCGGTCTCGACTCTCTATGAGGTGATAGATGACATAAAGCCCACATTGCGGGAAAATCATCTGATTTTTATCAAATTAAGGGTTAGCGACGAAGGGAGCTTCGCACACCATTAGACGTGCTTCGTTATCGGTCGATGATAGTGATGAAATAGTCCATCCGACGCCGATGGAAATGCAGTTCAACAGATGCCACGGAGCGGAGCAACGACTGCTCGATCCGGGCAAGGTGGTGCTGGCAAAGAATTACTGAGACAATCAGGAAAAGTGGACGTATGGAGTTGTTCATCAAAAATGTGGCGTCATTTAGGAGATTCGGGTTAAATCAGCCATTTGGTTACGCCACGCTTAACAGCTGAAACACACTGAATGTACTAATGCATCAATCCCAAGCTCATCACTTGAACTACTGCTAGACACGTCGGAGTTCCCAAAACCAAGGAAAGAACCAACAGTTTCAGTGCGAAGCCGATCTCCTCGAGCACCTAAAGGATCGAACCGAAGAACGCAAGCGACTCCGTTGCAGGTTAACCTGCGACTCAGAACTTACAACTCGGTTCAAAAGCGGGAGAAATTTTAGAAGCAGTCCTAACTGATTCGATCGCACGCCGACCTGATGGCTCATCCCACACCACGCTATTGATCGGCCCATATGCCATCCACATGATGCTATCACACAAGCGGCCGACGGGCTTAGTGTTCTACCCAACCACTCGAATGAGTCCCCGAGGACATAACCGGATTGGTCCGATTGCAGTCTGATATTGTACATACGCGTATGCGCCCTTTTTGGCCTTAAATACGTCGTACTAGGTACGTTAATACACTTTCATTCATCAGCCCTTGCTGTTCTGTTTTCCTTTAGGGATTCGATCGAGGCATTGTTCGACGGGCTAACACCGAGGCTTGTGAAAAATGCATGACATGCTTAATCACAGCATTGTCTGTGACGGCTTACTTCTCAGGCGGGCAGGTGGGGCATGTTTATCTGGCTGATGGCATTTGTTGAGAATTGCTCCGCAAGCTGCTACTTGTTGACACGCCGCATCACCCGTTGGTGGATGAACGGATGAGCCCACCCTTCCGCCT